GAGCCAGGAAGATGTGGAGCCTCCCAGCCAGGTGTCTTCCCAACACGCATCACCAGGACCACGGATCACCAGGGCTCTGCCCAACGGGGGTCACTGGGGATCATCCAACGCCCATCCTCCCATGGGGGATGGAGCTGGAGCAGCGCACGAAGCTCTTCCCGCACTCGGGGCACTCGCAGGGCTTCCCTTACTGGTGCCTACGTTGGTGTCGGGTCAAGTGAGAGCTCCTGGAGAAGCTCTTCCCACACTGGGGACACTCGTAGGGCCTCTCCCCAGTGTGGATGCGCCGGTGACTGACAAGGGTGGAGTTGCGGTTGAAGCTCATCCCGCAGTCGGGGCAGCGGAAGGGCCTCTCATCTGTGTGAATCCGCTCATGTAGGAGGACACTGGAGCTGGTCTGAAACCTCTTCCCACACTGGGGACACTCGTAGGGCCTCTCCCCAGTGTGGATGCGCTGGTGTTTCCTCAAGTCAGAGCTCCACCCAAAGCTCTTCCCACATTCCAAGCAGGTGTAGGGCCGTTCCCCTGTGTGGATCACCTGGTGTTTCATCAGGTCAGAGGTACTTCTGAAGCTCTTCCCACATTTCCCACACTCATAGGGCTTTTCCCCAGTGTGGATCCTCTGGTGTTTCTTCAGGTCGGAGCTCCGGCTGACGCTCTTCCCACATTCCAAGCACTTGTGGGGCTTCTCCCCACCATGAGGTTTCACCCCCAGCTCTGAACTCCGGCTGGATCTCTGGCCGTGTTCCTGGCACTTGGGGGGATCTTTCCTCCTTGCAGCTCCCTGGACTGAGTTTGCAGCCCCTCCTTGTGCGGCATCTCCAGGGCTTTTCCTCTTCCTGCTCCATCTGGACATGGTTTGGTCACGTAAAATTCCTGTTTGGGGGGAAATAAACAACAAGAGAGTGCCTTGGGCTGGGGTTTCCTCCTTGCCCAAGTTCATCTCAGAAAGTCATTGGTCATCTTTTGTCTGTAAGAATCTCTAAAACACCAACATTCAGACCAAACAAGAAAACACTGATTGTGTTTTCCAAAAACTAATCAAACAACGAGATTCAGCCAAAACCCCCTCCAGAACAGAAAGGTTCAGCCCTCACAAGAAATCAAAGCACCAACATTTAGCCCAATAAAGCTTAGAAACACCAAGATTCAGCCCCAAGAAAATCGTGGATCCCCCTCCCCAGTCACCCGCTGCATGTGGGGAGGCAACATTCCTGGGGTGGGGGAGCTGAAGATTCAGGGATGAACTTGGTGCTGCTTCCTCTTCCTACTCCTCCTCGTCCTGAGTCCCTGCTCTACCTCACACTCCTCCTTCTGCAAAACTCCAGGTACATAATTTCACCATTTTGCTCTTCAACCCTGCTTCTCCTTCCCTTCTCCTCCTGCCCCCAGGCCCAGCACCCACTGCCGCCTCCCTCTTTCCCCCCAGTCCCACAGCATCCCACCGCAGGGGCACGGATGCAGCTGGGCCAGCTCGGCCTGGGGCAGCGCTGGGCTCTCGGCCGCTTCCGCCCGCACTCGCTCCCCACTGCAGCCGCTCCCGCCACCACAGCGCGGGGGGGCCCGGCCTTGGCGCTCCCCCCTCCC